CTAGCTTGTGCACTTATACAGATTTCAGCAATTGACCGAAGAGGGAGATCTTTTGTATTATTTATTTTTAACAATTGTGGGGTGGGTACTTGTACACTGTCCTAAGACATGAAAATCGTGACATGTTTTGGGATGTATTGGAACTTCTCAGTGAAATAAGATAAAATAAAAAACAGGAGTGGTTTTAATAAAGTAAAATGCTATACCCACAGTTGTGAAGAATGTAGCTGTGCATCAATTTGGCAATTGTAACCAGAGTGAGGTAAAGTATGCAGATTAGGGCTTCGTTTTTCCATAAGAGCACTTGTTAGTGAGAAAATTCTGTTGAGAAGACACGGTTATAAGATCCAAAATTGTTGCGAAGCACCTAAAAATTAGCTCCCAAAAGTGACCCTACCTGCTTCATAAAATTCACTTCTCTACCCTATTATTCTGTTTGTTGCGTTCACACCTGCGCTCCACACCTACCTGCGTCGTCGCCGGGCCCGGCAAGTCCGTCTCCCAACCCGCGCCTGTTCCAGCGACAACCGGGTCTCGGCCCGAAGCTCGAGGTATCCGAATCTGCCCCTCCCCTCGATGAAACCGTCGTCTTCGCTGGTAGAACCGTCCAGGGGTACATAAAAACCCCGCCGTTCAGAATGCGGAACAGGCGTGTAACTTCCAAACAGCCACTTGGTGAAGCTTCTGAAGGGCTTGTCGTCTTCGCAGCTGATTGAAAAGCCTTCAAGTGCTGCGTCCCGTGAGTGTATGTGTCGTCAGTTTCGTTGTTGCTGGATTTTATTGCATTGATTTGGAGCAGTCATGGCAGTAGCATCCATGCGAGCCGTGCACATTGGAAGTACATCTACTGCTTCTGGCGTCGTTGAGAGAGGCTCAACATTTGGCAATGGCAGCTCAAGCCTCTTCGGAGAAACGCTCCGCTGTAGTAGAGTTGGTGTCCCGATGCGGCTACAGAAGCCGGCGTCGGAGCTGGTGAGTAAGGGATCTTACACGTGAATTCGCTGTCAGCGATTGCATTGACATGTCGACAAACGGGCCAGTTGTCGGTCCTTCGAGTCGCGTTTTTCTTTTTTTTCTTTTTTTTTCCCCCTCCCTTCTTGTTTATGTTCTCCTTTTCTCTTGTCATTGTTTTGTGATTTTCTGGAAACTTGTGGTTTGAATTGAAGCTCTTGTAGTGCTCCTCCTCAGGTCGAGATGAGTGTGCTACATAGCGTAGTTTGTTCTCGCCTTCGGGAACATATTTTAGCATATATGAGGCGGGTGCGATTCTTCGTCCCCCTCCAAGCGAGGTTTTCGGTTTCGCGCACTTTATATCACGTTAAACATGTTAATTTGGCTTTTTCAGAATTGTTTTCTCGATTTGTTCTTTGTGCGTGGAATTCATATTTAGTTGTTAAAAAATTTCAGTCCATCATTAAGCACTCGCCCACTCTTTTTTTCTCTCGCTTTGCAGTAGTCTGATTGAATCTTGCTAATTTTCATTGGAGCGTGTTCTAGGAAATCTGTCGACGGTCCGTGACCCATACCTACCGATGAAACTTCCTAATTTCGCTGGAGGGATTAGTTGACCTCGTGTCACCTGCATTTCACCCTTACATCAGTAGAGGGTGGATGAAGTGTGCACACTCTTGAATGGTTGGATACGTATATGTAGGTGTCATCTAAAAGATTTAACATCGACACCATATCTACGTAGAAAATGCTATCCAGTAATCCAGCGACTCGGATTTGTGTTATCTTGAGTTTTTTTTCTTTATTGTTCCCGACTTTGGTTTGAACAGGCGATTTTTCTAGGAGTAGAACTTCCTCTTGGTCATTTCTTAGCAACATCTGTCATGATGAGTAGCATTTTCTGTTGTCCGCTCTTTGGTGCTGTATTGCCTTTCATGACAGCTAGTATCGACCGAGTTCGTTTTCCCTTTTCGGTCCATTACCACACTTTTGTTTGATTTGACAGTCTTTGTCAAGATTGCTGCGACTTTCTTAGGCTCGAAGCACATGCCGAAGAATTACGATGGTATTACAGTCTGAGAAGTAATCGTTCAGTCATGTCACATGCATTGTGGTCATCGGGAACGGTTTAAGTTCTCAAGCAATTGAATATGTTGTTAAGACGAGTGAAGGGAGAAAATAACACGCTAATTCGTTCTATTCTTTTTTTTAGGCCTCGGTCTGTACTTCTACGTTTTATAACCGCGTGGGTTATATCCAAGTTAATTAGGATCCTGTTTTACTCTGTTAAGTTCTGGTATAATAGGTTAGGATTTATCAACCGCAGATTCTGTCGTTTCATTTGATGTTCTGCTGATTGTTGTCTTCTTTTGAGCACTCGTTCACAAGTATATGGCCTTGAACTGGAGTCCGAAGAAGAAATTTTCAATATCTACTTTTGACATTTAGTTTCCCTCCATATTGATTCCTTGTCTGTTGTGTCTATCATCACAGAAATGCTTAATTACAAATTCTTCGCCAAACTCTGTGTCTTCGAAGGGGCGAGTGATTATCCCTCCCATGCATGAGGATAATTGGAACAACATGTCTCTTGGCGCCAGGACTTTGACTGACGTGGGAGTCCGTGAGTTGCGAAGCGATACTAACCGGCTGAAAATTTTCTCTGGGTCCGCAAACCCCCTACTTTCTCAGGTATACGACTTCCGGAGGACATACGTGGCTAGGTTTGCACAATATCAGAAGGATTCTTCTTCTTTCTCGCTATTACCGTTCATTTGCAATTCGAGCGCCACTATTAACGATCCCTGAGTTGTGTCTGCAGGAAATTGCTTGTTACATGGGCCTCAACTTAGGCCAAATCAAGATAAAGCGGTTTGCGGACGGAGAAATCTATGTGCAGCTTGAAGAAAGCGTGCGTGGATGTGATGTTTTTCTGGTCCAACCAACGTGCCCCCCAGCCAACGAAAACCTTATGGAGCTTTTGGTCATGATTGACGCATGCCGGCGAGCATCAGCAAAGACCATTACCGCTGTGATCCCATACTTTGGGTACGCCAGGGCAGATCGTAAGGTGAGAAGACTGGTTAAATGAATTTTCTTGCGACTCAGCTCTAGAAGATGTTACCAGCTTGGAACATATTTGTCAGTCAAATGGTGATCATCGAAACAGATATTTCTGCTGTGTTTAAATTTGGCAGTGTTTTGACAGACCCAGGGCCGGGAATCAATAGCTGCTAAACTGGCCGCCAACCTCATAACTGAGGCGGGGGCACACCGTGTGCTGACTTGTGACCTGCATTCGGGACAAGCGATGGGCTACTTCGACATTCCAGTTGACCATGTTTATGGTCAACCAGTCATCCTCGACTATCTCGCTAGCAAGATGATATCCGCGGAGGATCTGGTTGTGGTGTCTCCTGATGTGGGAGGAGTTGCTCGCGCTCGAGCTTTTGCCAAGAAATTGTCAGACGCTCCTCTGGCTATAGTAGATAAGAGGCGGCAGGGCCATAATGTGTCTGAGGTATAATTTTTTGTCTTCAGTATTCACGACCTTGAGGTGTTAGAAGTTGTACTCCACAGTTGCCTTTATCATGAACTTCTTTCATACTTCTATGCGCACATAGTTTCCTCTACCACTCAGTTTGTCTATGTACTTTCATAAAGAAAATTTAAACTATTATTATCTAATGTGGAACTTAAATTCGGTTTGGATCACCATTTTGGAAGCTGATTTTGGATAATGTGCAGGTTATGAATCTGATAGGTGATGTGCACGGGAAAGTGGCCGTGATGGTAGACGATATGATTGATACTGCTGGTATGGACTCGCATGGACCGCTCAAATTTAGGTGTTACAGAAGTATATAAATTTATATAAGCTTAGAAAATTTACTGGGCAACAGCATTTTACTGCGCTTACTTACTTTAATTTTACTTGTTGCGTATCCAACAGGTACAATTACCAACAGTGCAGCACTTCTACATGCAGAAGGAGCTCGAGAGGTGTATGCTTGCTGCACTCATGCAGTCTTTAGGTGAGTTTCTCCCCCGCATAAATTTCAATCATAGTCGCTAGAATGTGTGGATCTTTGAATGCTTAAAACTTTTCTACCTATTCTGCTTTAAAAGTTTACTAAGAATATGTAAAGCTTGGATGATCTTTTTATTAGACAACGCTACAAAGACTAAGGTTAAAAGGAACCATTGTGCACCTCATTTGTAAGGTGTCTTATATGTTTTGTGTTTTCTTTATGGTCAGAAGTATTAACACACATATTTTTCATGACAGTCCACCTGCAATTGAGCGGCTATCAGGAGGCCTGTTCCAGGAGGTGATATGCACCAATACCATCCCTGTGAAGGAAAGCAACTACTTTCCACAGCTGACTATATTGTCAGTTGCCAACCTTTTGGGAGAGACAATATGGCGAGTGTATGACGACTGCTCAGTGAGTAGCATCTTTCGATAAGCATATGCGCCGCTCTTTCAGAAGGTCCCGACCGCAACGACATCTTCAGTACCCAAGGATTTTTGCTGCTTTCCAATCGAAGCTCCCTTTCAGATCACACTGTTTCGCACTGGAATAATGATCCAGTTTTTCAATTTTGTAGGATAACCATTAACATATTTATCAACTAGAAAACTGATATGCTCACCCCATGCTATCGGTTGACCCACTGTAAACTCTGACATGCTCTCCGAGTCTGTCGGTGGCAGCCGAAATGGCTGAGCATAAGTGAAGGTAGGCTTGGACCGTCGTTTTACGAAAATATAGCGGATATGCTGTTGATCCACACCTGGACAGTGTCATCTGTAAAGAATGATCAGGCCCTGCTCTGGGGAAGTGGTCAGTGTGTTCAAGAGCTGTTCACTTGTGCGGAGAAAGCTCAGCATGTTCTCCCGTTGTGACAATCATTTCTGTTTATCAAAACGCTGGTGTTTGTTTGTGCAATATTTCGCAATTACATTACCCTGTCTCTGATTGTTTCTCATTGTGATCTCCGATGGCTTTTAATTCCAGTTATTACTTTGTGATCTCACTTACTCTTTACACTTGTCAATAATATCTAACACAAAATTTTAATGGCTGATTATCAGTTTATTGCCAATAATATTTGTCACATATTATAAAGTAAGGGTTATTTGTATGCAAAAAAGTAGTAATACAGTATTTGATTATACTGAACAAAGCTGAAAATGTGCTTGAATGTACAATAAAACATTACTTACTTAACGCAATATATTGGCTGAGAAATAATAACAATGTGAGAACAACCGCACAAGTAACAAGTGAAATTCACATTTCAAACACAAACTATATTCTGTAAATTTACCTTTTTCAGAAACACAATAAAACAAAAATTTGTTAGCTAGATACTAGTGGTGCATTTTATGAATATAAAATAAAAGAAATGTCTCTTACCTAGATGCTAGTGTTTTAATTAAATAAAATATAGTCAACTTCATGCATCAATAATTTTGAAGATTTTTAATTGAATTTTTTAATAACATATGTATATGTTTGTGTACATATACATAAATCACTATATAGTGATTGGTAATATCTATCTAATCATTGAATTACAGTCTTAAAGTTACTTGGTGTAAGTTTTTCATATCAGATACAATAAAAATTGAATCATTAAACCAACTTATTTTCAGTTTGTAATTTTGATTTTTATATACTTTTAATATAAACAAGTCCCAAGTTTTAATAATTTAGTTGCATTTCTAAGAATTTTTTGTTAATTTTTTTAAGATACATTTTGATCTGGGTAAGATCAATGAGAATTTTAAATTGTATCAATATAATATTTAATTGTTGATAAAACTTGTGTGTATATTTTAATCAAAAAATTGCATTGACTGACATAATTTTGCTTTAGTCTTATACATTAGAAGATAAAGAAGAAATTAACATTGAATATTTTGCAAGTTGAATTTTTGCTTTGCATAAGTGTGTGCCTTGGTGTGTATGTATCAATGTGTAGAGAGGTATGAAAGAAAGTGTAAGTAAGAGTGAGAGAAGAAAATGTATGTCTATGTATTAATGGTGATTGTTATATGTTTTTAGTCTTGGTTTTAAAAATTATACATTATTAGAATTCTTTTATATATTTTTTTCATGTTATTATGATTATATTAAAAAATAATTAAAAATAATTTTTAATATTTAAGGTAGTAAAAGTATATATTACTAAGTATGAAATAATAATACTTCTACTACTAATTCCAATTGTTATTGTATAATTTTTATTTATAAAATAATTCTAAATTTATATTCTTTGTAATTATTATCATTATTTACTAATAAAAATATTAATTTATATCTTAAGTATCAATTTATGTCCATGACACTAATATGAGCTTACAATATTTAAATGTTATTATAGCAGCACACTTTATATTATTTTCTCAAAAGTTTTAAATATTAAAAAAATTATACAAAAAAATAATGATTATCTCTACTATAGATTATTTATGCAAGTCATGCATAGTAGAGTTTATCATTAAATTAATGATGTAAGAATAATTCATATAAAACAAGATTGTAACTATAATACTAATACGGGATATTTTTTTTAAACATAAAAAATCACTATATAAGCATTAGCTTGTACTAAGAAGATCAAAGAGCATTAGGGATTGAGATTTTTGTATTTAGATTTAGGAGAATATTGAATTGATCCACCTAAATCTTAAATCAAACCACTTTCAATAAAACATTATTTCTACTAATCTTTTTTTATAATCCACTAATTTCTATTAAATATAAAATAGTTTTTATGTTGTCTATTTCTACTCACATCTGACCTCCCACACTCAAATTCCTTATCCTACCATCTTGCATAATCACCACATTACCAAGTGCAAAATCAAGAGAATGGTGAGGAAGTAAAAAGCCTTAGTTGGTGGGGGAGTTGAGCATAGTAGAAACAAATATATAAATATATTATATAAAAATATATATATTTAGAGGAATGATAAAGCAACCCAAATTTTTACTAAAGTGACCCTTCCTAGCCATTCCCATGTTCCCAACTATCACCCTCATTCCCAAAGTTCCTAGCCTCCACCTCCATCCCTAGCAATAGTTGGGAATAGAGAACAGCTGAGAACAAGGGTGGGGGCTCCAAGAGTGCAATGATGCTTAAGATAGAGTAGGTTGCTTTGGTAAAAATTTGGGTCACTTTATCATTTCTCTCTCTATATCTATATATATATATATATATATAATAAAACAATTTGAGTTTGAAGTGTGTCAATTTAATTTCCCTCTTTATTCAATAAATTTGAGTCATTTCTATAAGATTTAACACCAAACAAAAGATTTGAATTGCAAGCTTTAGAGTTGAATTAAAAACTCCACTACGGAGTAATTCTTTGTGCACTAATTCTTCTACTGCTGAGTAGGACAGTGCGACGAAATTCTGTGTCTCGGCGGTTTGAGGGCGTCTTCAATGGCCTACTCCTCCCGCCATTCTCTCTTCAAATTTTTCCTTCCTGGACAACCGCCAAACTTACTAATAAGTTACTAACTGAACGAACCGACTCTGACGGTCGATTTCCTCTTTTCTGGATTGGACGACTCCGATTCCTCCACGGTCCCCCTGCCTTGATCATACTGCTCATTGCTCTCGTTGCCTTCCTGAAGACACTTTGCAGTGTCCCATCTGAGCGCGCGAGCTTCACACTGCGTTTGTCTTCCTTGGCATCGACGAGCCCTTTGTTGTTAGCTCGATCTGAGCTGCTGTGGTTGCGAGAAGGAAGCGTGAAGAAATTCGGGAGATATTGAGATGATTTTGGACATTTTTGGCCGTTTGTGAACGAAGGTTGCGGTGGTCGTAGGGGCTGTCTGCGTACGCGTTGCATTTTCGTTGGAGAATGAATTTCTGTGGCGGGATTGGATAGGTGAGGTGAGTGATCTTGTGGATTTTTATCTGTTCGTGATTCTAGAATTTGTCTTGCACAAGTGAAGTGACACCGCCTTTGTTGATTGAATTTGATGGATTGTGGAGTAATTCCTAGGCTTGGAAAGCTCGATAGTTTTTGCATCTTGTAGGCTCTGGAGAGCGCTTTCACTGAATCCGAAATTGGCACCAACAGGTCTCCTGTCGCAGAGACTTTGTTGACGAGCATTTTGGTCGATGCAATTTCTGGTGCTTCCAGAGAGGTATTGTAGAAGAGTTTATTTTGTTTTATTTTATTTATTTACCAACAACTAAGATAAGCCTTGCGGAGGTATTGCTTGAGGTCATAATTTGAAGGTTCACAAAGATTGTCAGTCTGCCGCGTCCTGGTTAACCTGGAAGGTACAATTAACGGTTCCAATTTTGATGCTACCAGCTACATTCATGTGCTTCAATTTATGCGAGGTTAGTGAACCGTGGATCAATCTCAAAACTCTCCACTATGAGGAGATCGGCTGCTCCAAGCATGCTTGCAAAGAAACTTCAGGAACAGGGGAAAGAGAATGTTATTAATGCAAAATCTGCTATCTTCGAGAAAGCTGGCGGAAGTGAACCCTTTCGGAACATCATACCAAGCAGGAAAAGGTTCAGAACACCTTTCACCTCACCGCAGGCAGTTGTTTCCCCTAGAACGAAGTTGCACTCTGCAGGTGGAACAGAAAGCTACGGATCTGAAGGACTTGCAATATGTAAGGGCTCTAACGTGGTTAGAGATGCTCCCACTGCAGGGAGGAAACCCTCCCAGGTACTCCAACTGATGCAATCTAGAAGAATTGGGACGATGAGTAACATCTCCTCCACTGTCTCTGACCAGTGTGATAAACTTTCGCCTCAATCCGCAAGTCCATTGGATCTCTATTCCGCATCCGATATTGTGGAGAAAGTTGCATTCGAGGAAGGAAACTCCGACTTGTTTTCAAAGGCAGATCTCGAAACAATTCCTGGGAATTCTTCGTCGTTTGAATCCTCTTGTGCAGTTGGTGCGAAACGGGATTGTCCCGAGGATGGCGAGTTGGAAAACGCAAGTTTGGATGTTCGGAAGAAACATTGTCCTGCTGAGAAAGAGGGAGAACCTCTGTTGTCAGAAAAAGGTTTGTGCGTCGAACAAGCAGCAGCGATCTCAAAGGAAACAGTTGCTTGTGCGTATGACCGTTTAAATGAAGATCTCAAGCTAGATCTGATACCATCGGGCGGTGCAGATACAGTTAACTTGAAAGAAAATTTGGAGTCCACAAGCAATAAAGGAGAAGGGGAGCCATATGTCCATGTGAAGGAAGATCACAATGATGAAGTAGTGTCTCTCAGTTCAAAGCCTACGAATCCTGAAGAGACTTTGCACGGTCCCCATCGCCAGTTCTCATCTCTTCATGGTGTAAATTTGCTAGAGGCAGTGAATCATACGCACGAGCTGCCGACAACAGTGCATTACTTGGTTATGTATTGCCCGCGCAAAAAAAATGCTAAGCGAAAAGGTCCCTGGTCTGATGGTATTATTGTTTGTCAAGGGCGATCGTGCACTCTCCAAGACATGGATAGTAAAGTTGTTAGTAAATCGAATTTTCAAGGATTGAAGGATATGCCAGAAGGAGCCACTCTTGAGGTGAGTAACGGACTTTCGAGGGCTGTTCTCTTGCTTGAATCATCCTGGATGACCTTCACCGGTCTATCGAGACATCAGCTCGGTTTACTATTGTGTGTTTTCTACATCTTTATGTGTTTCTGTACCTGAATTTTTGTGACTCCGCCCGTCCTACATAGCTTGTGAATGTTTATAACACCTTAAACTGGTGTATATGTATGTACAGCAATAACTCTTCTCTGTAATTAACGGGTAGGACTTACGGGAGATCTTTTGACCTTGCAAATGAAAACGTGTGAGGATATATATATATATAGATGTGTTTGTGTGTTTGTGTGCGTGTGTGAAGCTTGTAGTGTTTTGATTCTTCAATTTCATCAAGCGACCATTATTTGCACCTCGTAAAGTTTCTATGGACTGATGAACATGTAGAGTAGCAGGACAGGAAGGCTAATTCTTAGCTTTTGTTATTCTGTGCGGTTACAGAAACATGACTACATCTACAATAATGCTCAAACTTTGGCATATGTTGATACGTGCAGGTCGGAAAATTTGAGGTAGAGGTGATGAGAAAAGCTTCTAATGAAGAAGTTCTCAGTGGTACTTTGTATATGGCTAACAAGCTTCTTCCGTCAATTCCAATTCAGTGTCCATTGAAGACGTTGAAGAAACAGCCGTTCAAAAGTTCAAAGCTGGATGGATCACAACAGTCCAGGTAAAGCCTCGCTCTGTAACATATGATAGCTTCCTCTTGCCTCTTTATCCTCTGCTCACTTTGATATCAGATGATGGAGGCGGCTGCACTATTTCACGAAACCGTCAGGGAAGTCTGATGATGAAAAGCCGCAAAACTAGTGCAAAACTCACTACCTACGACAGTCTCTATACTTTTGAGGATTATTTTTTTAGAAATCTTGGAATTTTGTGAGCAGGTTTTTATTTGAATTCTCTGAGTTTCTATATACCTCAACTCATTGTTAACAGGATTTTATCATGGTTGACAATCTCAAACGAAATCAATGTGAACTTCTGAAAGCACGTCTCAATAAGATGACCATTACGAACAGGTTGCGGGGTTGGCCTGCTCTGACGTTCCATTTGGTACAGATCAACTGATTACTAGGATCCTTTAAAGTTTCAATATGTGATAGATGATTGTGATCCTTATGATCTATTTCTTTGGTATAGCCGCAGGGACAAAGGACCATTCATGATACCAATGGTACTCATACATTTTCACATCGTTCTTTTCATCACAATTGAATTGGTTACAGTGATTAGCACTAGATACGACTTTTTTTCTTGAAAAATACTAAGATTTGGCACATCTGGTTTGCGTACCGTGTTTATCAGAGTGTTGTTTCTGGTTTTCTTCTCTCTAATTTGTATTTCTTGAGCTTGCTTGATTAATTTTTTTGACAAGTTCTCTGTGGTAGCATGACAATTTTGTATCTGGTTCATGTGAAGGACGCTTGGAAGCTGAACGAGGATTCATCTACAGAGGTTCCTGTCGTCGTGGATCCGGTTGGTGTTCTTGCTCACAATTTTAAGCGTTGATGGGAGTTGTCATTGAGGATGCGAACAGTTGTTTCTTCTTAGTTTGCAATTTATTAGCGCCAAAAGAACAGCTCTAGAAAGCAACTGTTGAGAGGATTACTTTATGTCTTCTCCTTTCTTTGCTTTGTTTTGTTGTGCTTTTCCACTTCAAATTGGTTTTTTAATAACCGTCCTCGGGATATGCAGTATATTGCATCAAAGTTGAGGCCGCATCAAAAAGATGGAGTGATGTTCATGTATGAATGTATCATGGGACTAAGATCGAACTCCTTCTGCGGATGTTTGCTAGCTGATGAAATGGGTACGAAAGCTTGATTAGACCGCTCTGGTGAATTTCATTTTGAAGGCTTAAGATTTGTGCATGTTCTAGATTGCTTTATCTGTCTTCAAATTAAACATTAGTACTGTCATATATTGATTCAGCGTTAGCTGTCACTTTGAAGCACTATCCCAACTTTCCACTGTCATAAGTACTTGTTTCTCTTTTACTCGGGGTGTTTTGCATGAGCACAAATGGCTACTTGTTGCATCACCTTTTCGTGTGAGTTCCTTATAACATCTTCAAGCTTAGTACATCTTGGCTCATTGGCATCATTTTCTTTCATACAAATGCAGGTCTTGGCAAGACTCTGCAAGTAATCACCTTAATATGGACAATTTTGAAGCAGGTATGAATTACTGAGCTAATGTATCAATGCAGCATACACTTTTCGTCTTACTTGACCTTTCAAACGAAGATGTAAGTTCAGTCATTTGCAAAAGGATGAAGTTGTACATGACTGTTGGAGTTGACTTTCATTCGCAGGGTCCTGGCGGTTCTCCAGCTGTCAAGCGTGTCCTGGTCGTTTGCCCCTCGTCTCTTGTTCATAACTGGGGGAACGAGGTATGGTGCTAGAAACCGATCATTACCAATTATTTTTCTTCGAGTGTGCGAGTAAGCTGAATAGGTCGACCTCTTTTTCGAAAAGTGAAACTGGACTAAACCAAAAAAAATTAACCGTGATGCAGGTTCACAAATGGCTTGGGAGGGAGAGATTGAGGTTTATGGCGGTACATGCAGGAACTGCGTACAGGGAGGTTGGAGCAACTTCTAGATGGTTGTTACTTGTTTTTGATAACCCGTGGTAGTTTTGAACATCCTTTTGATTTATGCTGCTGTTCTCTCTTCCAGTTAGTTTCATGAGTAATTTCCTGAAGATCATGGTTGCAGGCTGCTCAGAAATTTGCAGATTTTAAAGCTGGATTCTCCAGTCCGCTCTTGATAACATCCTACGAAATTCTACGGAAACACATCGACATAATTGCATCCACCAAACCGGGGCTACTGGTTTGTGATGAGGCTCATCGCCTCAAGAACTGGTACCTTTTCTTGCGAATTCTAGATTCTGCATTCGCGCCTCTGTATGAAGGAAACCGGCTTTATGTTCCATCTTTTCAACGAAATATCGCAACTTGTGCAGTGGGAAGCCTGCCTTCTGAGCTTTTCATTTTCTAATCTATTCGCTCATTTAACAAGGCATACTTAATTTTGTGCAGTGCTGGTAACAAGACCATTGATGCTCTCGTTGGGCTTCAATGCCCTCGTAAAATTCTTCTGGTAAGTCTTGGGTATTTCTGGTGCCTTTGGTTAGAGTAACTGTCCACAGCGCCTTCGGTGAAATATAGTTGCTTTCGATTGCTGGTTTATTCCATTAGTAGATAGGTAGCAGTGCGTAGTGCAGCATTTTGGTTTTTGGGAGGTTGAAGGTTAAGTTGCATTGTGTTGCAGACCGGAACTCCTGTCCAGAACGATCTAAACGAGTTTTATGCTATGATTGACTTTGCCAATCCAGGGCTTTTAGGCCCTCTTTCTTCGTTTAAGCGGATATTCGCAGAGCCTATTGAGCGAAGTCAGGATCGCACTGCAAGGTGAAAAAGTGTTCGATGCAAATAATTTATGTGTTTGAGACGAATTTTATCTGCCTAAGTTGTTATTCGATCCCAGTGATGAACTCTAGTTTTGGCGACATGAAAATTGTGACAGTGAAGAGGAGCAAAAGTTGGGACAAGCCAGATCCCTTGAACTTCAATCGAGAACTGAATTCTGCATTCTTCGGAGGACAGCAAACATAAACGAAGCATACTTACCTACCAAAACAGAGTAAGTGCATGTATGTAGCTTTCAGCCAGGTTTAAGTAGTTTTAAACGCTTTTGAGAGATGCTTATGTTGTTGCGGACGCATTGTAACAGGGTAGTAGCCAGAAAGATTCTTTTCAAACATGAAGGAATCACTGGCTGGCATCATTGTCCTATGTCGCCTAAAGAAGGATCAATGGTTTTGAGAGGTACAATAGCTGTCTGAGGTACTTTGTGGGAAAGCGAAATAATTCCCTACAAATTGAGTTTTTTGCCGAATATTATAGTGCACTGATTTGGAAAACGTGAAGCTGCTGAGCTGATTACTTGATAATTGCTCCAACTACTTTTATGGATTGTTTGGATTTCTATGATCTGGATGTAAAATAACCATTTCAAGTTCTTAGACCTACTCTGTTCTGAACATTTAATACCTTGGCATGTCACAACTATCTGCACATTCAAGTTTTTCTTCGTGAACACATAGAGTACATTATGTGCTGAGACCTTCGATAATGAAGTCCGCCAACTTGACGTCCTGATGCACTGGCTTGTCAACTGTCTGGATCTTGAGAGAATATGGTCGATTTAACGTCTGTTGGGACAGATTTTTTGTGTTTTGCAGATTACATCTACTTCAGATCTCTTTCTATAATATCATCACTGCCAGAGTTAGTCCCAACTGACTTCACATTATAGCTCTCTTCCTTTCATAGTTGGCCTGAGAACTACTTCCTGATTTTATTGGTATGTATGTTGCAATTTCTTTCATTGACGTGCTACCTCAAGGAAAGTAGTAATTACGGTTCGCAACAATGCCTGGTTGCAGGCACTTAGGTCGGTGTACATGACCGAAAATGTTTCAGCTACGATCTTATCCTCAATAACCTCTTTGAGGAAGTTGTGTAGCCACCCTCAACTTAGTTACAACGATATCATTGAAGGCACAAACCTGGATGCGGAGCTAAAATCTCAGATAATTGCTGCTGGATTAAGCAGATTTAGTGACAGTACAGATAACATTGAAGTCCTCCAATCAAGGTGCTGATAACCTCGTCTCATGTAGTCCGCTGTCTGTATGCTATGTGGCGCACAAGCCCACATGTGGTCAGTTGTGTGCTCAACAGGATGCAATTTTGGGTCGAAGTGAGATTTGCATATAAGTTCCTCACTTTTAGTGTTGCTGGATTGCAACATTGTGAATCAGGGCGAGCCTGTCAGATGAAGGATGGAAGTTTTCTGGGAAATTGGCATGTTTATATTGGCTCCTCCGGACAGTTTACACAAGCCGTACAGCTAGGCAAAAGGATAGGGTGGTGGTGGTTTCCAATTTTACTCGAACATTGGACTTAATTCAGGTTCTCATTGTCACACTTTTACCTACGTCACGAGAACATGAATCGTAGCAGTGCATGGAGATGTTTAGCTGGAGATGCATCGAAACTCCTAGTGCTGATGTAATCAGTCAAGAATTGCTTGCAGGATATGTGCACGAGTCAGGGTTGGAATTGGTTACGACTGGACGGTTCGACGGAAGCATCTAAACGGCAACTACTCGTTGATCAATTAAACAGTGGCGTTGGAGATGTGTTTGTGTTCCTTCTGTCATCAAAGGCTGGTGGAACTGGTCTTAACCTGATCGGGGCCAATAGGTAAAGTTGAAGACATTCTGTTTCGCTACTTCATGGTTCTAAGGATTTCGTGATGAATCATAGCAATGACTGGATGCTTTAAAAAAATTCTGAACTTTTCATACGTTTACGCGTGTGCCTCCAGGCTTGTACTGTTTGATCCTGACTGGAATCCAGCTACCGACTCCCAGGTAAAATCTTCTGACGATTCATGACTCATTGATTGGAAATTTTTCTTTTCATGAGATACAACCCATGTATTCACTATCATGATCATGTCGCGCCAGGGGAAAAAAATGCTATTCTTATTCTAATTGTTTAGGATCGTTGTTGTTTGACATAGCTATGTTATGGCGTTATCAGAGACTACACAATCTACATCGATGAGCTTTTCATGAAATCAAAGTTTTGATTGCACTGACCTCACGAATGTGACCAGGCGATTGCTCGTATATGGAGAGAAGGGCAGCTAAAACCAGTCCTGATATACAGGCTTCTGTCGACTGGCAGGTTTAAATATATTTATATTTCCTCTCAATGAATAGATTTGCATGTGCATGACATAACCTAGTAAATTTTCACGTATCTGGTGGACATCATAACGTCCAAGAGTTCTGCGTTGGTCATAGAATCGGTTGTAACAGTCAGCGAAGAAGACATGATGGGACTATGCTGACTGAGTTGGTGTGATGGCGGTCAGCATCGAAGAAAAAATCTATCAGCGTCAGATAATGAAAGGAGGAATGTCTGCAGCTGTGGAAGGAGATGCGGATGTCCATACCAAAAAGAGCAACATAGGTCGTCATTTTTCCAAGGAAGAGCTCAAAGAGCTTTTCACATTAAATCTGGTGAGTGGTGGACAACGACAACAATTCTGCAGAATTATTAACGTATCGAACCCGTTTGAAAGTGAAAATAGCACAATAGTATTACTCTCTTATTTTTTTTTGTTCCAATCGAATATCTCTACAGGCGACAAATTGCGACACTTTCGACCTCATCTCCAGGACAAAAACGGCTCCTGCCAAGACCTGGATGGATGATTCAGAAAACGTTGACGATCCTGCGCTTCAGAGTGCTATCAAGTCAGGAATCGTGTCATTCGTGTACAACGACAGACGTCCAGCACCACAGCAACTCGCAACAGTCTGAGTTTGACTGCCTCAATTTTATATCTACTATCATAACCCAGAACTATCAATCGTCATCGAGAAGTAGTATCCCTTAGCTTTGTCCGCGATGGAATTGGAGGGAAGGTTGGCTGCTCATCCCAGAGAGCCCGGCCAGGTTCTTTTTACCAGCCTCCGGCACTCTCATTGAATAGAGCATCGCTGCACAGATTAGTCAGGAAATATGGTGTATTCATACGGAGCAGCTCTAACCCACCTGAAAAAATTGATCAACTATTTTCAAGCCAATTCTCCAGATGCTATTGGAATAAAATAAAACTATACCAACCATTGCGTCACATTGCAAGGAATGTGAGACAAACTGATAGATTTGTGTCACATGCTATTGAATTGGTGTACGTTTATGTATATATTTGTGTGTGTGTGTGTGTGTGTGTTGATTTTTGGCATTGAAGTTTTAAAAAAGTTGTTTGGAAAAGAAATGCTGTTATCAGATAAATATCATTAGAAGGTTGTGTTATTTTAGGTTGATGTTTGAAGTGTTTTTAAGAGTTTCTAAATTTAAAATATATATTATTTGATTTGATTAATTAATTGATACTATATTAACAATAATATGTACTAATTAAAACACACAACAATTTTTTTTATATTCAAGTCATAAAAATTATCAATGTTTTTGATTTGTTTTCTTATTTTTTTCCAAACTATATAGAAAGAAAATTTAGTTTTAATAAAAATAAGATTGTGGTGGCAATAGAAAAATTTATGGAGGCAAATGATGAATGGCAAATTGTAGTGACAATAACAAAAACTATTGTGGCATTAACAATATCATATATATATATATATATATATATATACATATAATTGTTATTTTTAGTCATGGTTAATATTATATTTATTATAAACTTGCTATATATATATATATATATATATATATATATAATAAGTCTAATTTAAATATTTGAAGTATAAAGACACAATTTGTAATAGAATTAACTAAGCAAGACTTTACAATGATGTGATTTCTTTTCTTTTTTTTCGTTTTCAAATTCAAGTCATATTTTTTGTTAAAATTACTTAAAATATAGAATTAAATAAAATTTGATTGAAATACAAAGTATATAAAAAATTACAATTAAAAGCAAAAATAAGATTTTATAAAAACTGTTCCAAAAAGACCACATATTATAATAATACAAGTATTTCATTCCACAACAATAATATTTAAGCTTCTTGAAAAATGTATTAAGATGGCCAAAGTTGGTAATAAATATTTGAGTAAAAATACATAAAAAACAAGAAATCATTACTTTCACATGAAAAACAAAAAAAAAATATTATTGTTACTTTACCAATCAAATCACTAATTCCCATTCACAAAAGAAACACATCCCAACTCAAAAGAAAACACCAACTAAAACATATGTATCTACATATTTTTATAATTAATAATAAATATTTTCTAAATATGTAAAAGGTATCTAAAACTAAGAATTGACTAGTATTCTAGTGAACTAGTTATGTACTCACGTGCATACATTTCCACTGGAATAAAAGAACACAAATTTTATGTAAATAGTGCAACCCATAATAAATGTTACATTAAATTTAGTAGCCAAACATGGCTACATCATGGGCACAAAGAAGCAAGTATTCCATTGGGAATTGAAAATAGCACTCAAAACTACAATGAAGTATTCTAGAATCTATAATGTTGATATATCCCTAGCTTGGCAAAACTGAATCTGCTTTAATACTGTATGGAGAAATAGTCTAAGACGGTTACTAATTGTGTGCATTTATTGCAATTTTGTATGGATTGTGGACCTCAATACACTGTAGGCCATTCACTTTGCGGCAAGTGGGCATCACAAAAAGAACCAAAACATGATAACAACATGCATTGCAGGCCAAAAGCAAACCTTGCATTAATTTGGCACCACTAAAACTCACTTCCATCTAATCTCCTCCCACTGGCATTCATCCTTCCAATTGCTGACCATGGCTTATTGTCTCACATTATTCATACAAGTTTTAGTTTGTCTTGCTTGTTGCCTGCTTGTTGTCTATGAGAAATAAGCATAGAAATAAATAAATAAATAGATTCTTCTCATCCATTTGCTAGAATAAAGTCCAACCTCTAAGATATTAGTTAAGCAACTTTCTTATTGAAGTAATTAAAATTTTAGCTTAAGATATTTAATATTTATAACACAAAGAAGACAAGTAATAGAAAAATGCATAAAAATTATATTTTTGATTAATTAATTAATTATTAATTATAATCAATAAATTTAATTTCTTTGATTGACATATTATTTAAGTAATCTTAAAGGAATATATGAAAGTATATGCATTTAAGTATTTAAAAGAAAAAATGCATATTTTAATGTAAATATAAAATTTTTAAAATAAAAATAAGTTATTTTTAGTAACATAATACTTTTAAAAAAATAATTCTTAATAAAATCACAAAACATTATAAATAAGATTTAATAGCACCTTCTTATACAAAAGCATTTTAAAAAATTATAAAGAGACAACCATAATTTTTTATATAGAAACTATTTTAAGAGATCAATAAAAAAAATAATAAACTATCAAAGTGATAATGGCTAAATTATTTTTTTTAATTCTATAAAAAGTTTTAAATATCTAAAAGACCATTGTCATATGGCGTGATTTTCTATGTGAGAATACATTGGGTACCTAACTATGGAGAGTTTAGCTTTAATTTATTGGCCAAGCTTCAATAAGTGATTTATTCTTATTATAGAAGATAAATAAATGTATCAATATTGAAAGATATTTAATAATAATAACTTTTATATTTGAGAAGGTTTGTACACAAGGCTTTCTAAAGCATCTAGAAATGCTCTAACATCCTTTGCTATAACAAATCATAACTAACTATTTGCCAATAAGTTAGATTTTCCATAAGCTCAAAGAAAATCCATAATCTCTTTACAAAAATCCATCTTTATACCATAATTTTTCCTTAGCACTATATCTTTTTTTTTTTTAAATATATATCTATATATCTATATCTATATCTATATATATAAAGTCTTGGCTCTCTTAAATCTCTTTACATAAAATGCTCAAATTGTAACAAAATTCTTTCAAAATATTTTTTTCCTACAAAAGATTTTTTTTCCTCCAAAATTTAGAATATTATATCTCTTGATCCAATTGTTAAAGTTTTTTCAAATTTCTAGAAAATGTAGAACTTACCCTTAAGCTTTATCACAAAAAAAATAGATCATAAATCTACTACAGATTGTTGAGCATCTTAGAAACTCTAGTAGGTACTCTTAATCCAAATTTGAAATGTTGTCTTCAAGCAATCATTGCTCATTCAAATCAACTTCAAACCTTTAGTTTTTTTGCATGCAAAATATAGCCCTTTGAACCAAATTTTTAACCACATAATCCGATTCTAAAATGCCCTTTATATGCATGGGCTATGCTCCAAAGAGTGAAAATAGGTACAAAATCAATATCTTAACTTTGAGCACCTATATCTTCTTCATAAAACTCCAAATCATACAAAATTTTTACCAAAACCATACCCAAAATCCTAAACTTGACGACCTTAATCTTTGATGTTCAAATGGCCTCAAAAGAATAACTCTAATCCTTAATAAGGCCTCGAGCAACCTCCTTGAAGCCCATTAGGCATGACTTTTGGCCAATAAGAATAGAGATTTTCATCATCCATCTCCATTCATCCATATAGTTGGCCTAATTACTCCTTTTTATACAAAAATCCTTCTTTAATCCTTTTTCTAATAAGTTTTATATAGTATGTGCCTTAAACACCAAATTAAAAAAATAAAATAAGATTTCAAGAATCACCATTGTCTAATAAAGGTGGCTCTAAATATATAAAAACTATTATTAATATAAAATCAATCTCAATAATAGCCTTTTTAAACTAACTACTTCAAAGTAGTAATCTAATCACATTTTTAATCAACTAAAATCTAATAACATGGCTCTCACTACATTGTATAGTAAATTATATATTAAATATATATGTGCATTATTTTCATATGGTAACCAAACCACAACATAATACTGTATTATATATATAAGAATATTAAATAGTCCTAGATTTCATTAAATCAATCCACCTATCTTAACTATTAGGAGAGAAAAAAAAATGACATCTAGATTTATTTCTCTATAGTGATCTACATTGGATCTACGATGAATAAAAACCAACCACATTCATCATAATTACCATATTCTTCATTAAGAGTGGATTTATTTAATAAAAAAATAGATCTATTTTTAAAATTCTATATATATATATATATATATATATATATCATCTATTAAAATTAAGTAATTAAAAATTTTATTGGTTTTTTTATAATAAATAAATAAATAAATTTTGTCACTTAAAAGCTATATTATCTAAAAACTTTGTCATATACAATTTTGAATATATGACATCAATGAGATAATATCCTTACTTTATTACTATCTTATATTAAAATAATTAAAGGTAATTATATGCAATCATTATAAATATTAAAATAGGATTCTAATAATTTTTATAAATATATTAGAATTAGTATCTAAATTATAATTATCTTGTGCAATACATTATAAGATTCAATTTTATTATCATTTTAAATTTATTTCTATAGTTTGACATTTATTTTCTTCTTATGTTTAAGATCTAAAGATCAAACCATTTTATTTTTAAAATAGAATTTATTATATATATATATATCTATATATATATATATATATATATATAACTACATTACTTTTTTCTACAACCACAAAGACACAATCAGAATGGTGAGAATAAAATAACTCCTTGTTAATGGAGCAAAATTATATATAAAATGAGCCAATATTTTGGCTCAATAAATATATAAACAAGTAGAATAAAAATAATAAATATATTTAAATACATAAGAAGAAAATTTTGTTGACAACTATTATTTTTTATATATTTTATTTTTTCTACAGAAGAAGAAATATTATCCACCTTTGGTAGTATTATTTATTGTATTTGATGAAACGTATTTTTTAATAACATCTAGAAAACTTAAAATATTTAATTTTTTAAAGTACAAATTCATATATTTACAAGCATATCAAAATTTGCCAATATCCATTACAAAGAAAATTTTTCTAGTGGCAAAAATCTACCATTTTATTTTTTATTAAAAAATTTAAATATATATATATAGATCAGAAATCTTAATTATATTAAAAATTAACACTTTTGGAAGAATTACATCACATATTTGTCTTATCATAATTGCATTTGCTAAGTGATGATTTTAGAAAGTATTTGTAAATGAAATATAATATTTTTTGATATTGGTTTAAGTAAATATAAAAATATACATCTATTTTTATTAATATGATATAAAAATTTCATTTTTTTTTTTAAATATTATTTTTACAATTAGAGATCAATTAGAAAAGTGAATGCATAAAAACTCTGGTTTCAATAAGATTTTTTAACACTGTAAGTACATGCAATTAAAACTTGTTTAAAATTACATCACTACTTTTTGTATGTATGAAAGCTACCCTCAACCTTGCTGAATGTTTTAGGATAAGAGCATCTTTCTGACAATGTTTTTAATTTTAATTCTCTGGATTCAACTGTAAGCATAGTTTTTAGTTTAATTTTTTGAATCAACAACATTTTCTTGTGACTTCGTATGTAACAAGAATATTAAAAAAGACACCTCTCCACTGCTCATTCTTTTGCAATTGCTTTTAAAAAGCATGCAGAATTGAAGTTGTCTAAAAATACCACATTAACAAAACCACTAATACAGGAAAACAAAATCAATGGAAGGTCAATATTCCTTTCCATTCTTCACAGTATTAAACCCCAATTTTTTATACAACTAAAACAATCCGATTTTCCCCCTCAAATCCATCTCAATCACATAAACTGCAGCTACCAACACTAATAAATGGGGTTCAGTCACGTGTTTTCCCACTCAATAAGAAAAAATTAAAAAGAAAAAAAAAAAACCATATTAGAACGAATACGTTATCCAACTAAGCTTCATTTTTTAACAAGATTATATGTATATATATATATATATATATATTTATAAAATAATAAAATTTTAAATAGACTCAAGTTTTTACATAATCATGATAAATATGGTTGGTTTTCATTACTTTTGGATTTAGTAGTGGAGAAATGTGCAGTTTTTTTTTTTTTTTTTTTTTTTTTTTCATGATGGTTGTCCACCCATTCTAACCATCATGAAAATAAAAAATGACCTCTAGATTCTTTTTTCCATTACTAAATCTGCAACCAATGAAAACTAACCACATTCATCATGATTATCTTTTTCAACCATATATATGTATATAAAAGGAAAGATAAAAAGTAAACAATAGGACGAGAGAGCTGAGAAAAGAAAAAGGAAAAACAATACCCGCACTATATATACGGTGGCACATATACAATATGAATACGGATACGTATTCACGGGAATAGAATACCGGATCGGGGATACCGGAATTGGTTGAAGCGAAAATCCCTCGTCCACTCGTGAATTCCCGCTCGTTTTTTTCCTTGTATTGCTGGATCGATGCAATGGCGGCTTCTAAAGTTTAGATTGATTGTGGGAACATGTTGGTTCGGTGTCGACGAGGGTGGGGGGGCGGGGGGGGGTCGAGTCTCAGCTCTTCGCCGCGGGGTAGAAACTCCCCACCCGAAGCTTTACTCAAACTTCTCCTCGCGAGATTTTTCTGTGCGAGAACGACAGAGGACTCTGCAAAATATGTCTGCGATTGTTGCACGATTTTGAGGTCGTTATGCGTCGTGCTTCCCGTTACTTCGGCCAGGCTTTGTTCCTCTCGGCATGCTAGTGAGTTCGTCTGGCGATCTATTTCCTCACCATGAGATTGAATGGTTTTGCATTGTGCTCACTTCTTCCGCATGCATCTGGTCGGTCCACGTATTGCATTGTTCGAGTAGAATCTGGATTATTGTTTAATAGCTGCTTTGCGGAGGCCGGTTTGAGTGTCTTGACAAGTTGGAGTAACTGTTTCTCAGGAATGGCTCACAATGTTGTCCTTCCTTACCTCCGGGGCATGTTGTTAAGGTCCTTAAATCGTTGTTTCACCTCATGGGGTTTGAGCTTTCTTATTTGCTGCCGTTGTTTCGAATGTGGATGATATGATGTCAGAAAAATTGAAGATTGAAGGTAGAGATATTGTCATAGTCTGTTTTGATAAAACTATTTTCTACCTCACTCGTACAGCTTGCCAGTGTACACCCTTTTGAGGCCCGCCGCCCACCCGCCTGCCGTCCGAATTCGTAACATGAAAATTACAATTTTATATCGATCCCATTGCAGCCCTCAATTACCGGGGAAATTCTTGTAGAGGTCATCACTTCTTAAGTTCATAAATGTATGTAGAGGTTGCGATTACCAATTTTGTTTGTTTAAGACGATAGTACCATTGAGTGGACAAGGTAACAAAAACATTTCTTCCACTGTGAGTGTTGTGATTATCACACACAATCCTTGTAACTCTATTATCGCAGGTTCACTGGCACAAGGTTACTTGTGCGATTTTTGCGTCCCCGAAAGTTAAATATGCAGATGTCTGCAGGGTAATTATTATCAATTAATACTTCAGTGCTCAACAAGACGGGTCTTCGTTTTCCAAACACAAGAAGGTACCATTTGCCATTTCTTCCCAAGTTAATAGCTGAAATGCCACATTCTGATCAGTTTTTTTTTTTGGTGCTGGTTTCTCATTCCCTAAACTCGATGCAACTTTATCATTCGCATGTTCTATGTGACGTGATTTTCAGAGGAATAGTATCTTCAAACTAAGGGAGTAAGATTCTCTACAGGTGAACTTGTGATGATGTATATATGCGATTACTCAAAGAGTGCATGCTTCTAAGTGTTTGTTTGGCCGTATTTCAGAATAATTTACCCATCATGGCATTCTTTCGGCGGAAGTGGCTTGGATTATTAGTGCTTCTCTGTTGTGCTCCTTCAGCATTCGGATCATTTAAATCTAGAAAGATTGGACCTCTGGAAGTGGAGAGAGTGGAGTGGGATAGCTTAGATATCATAAATCATCAGGACTCGAGGTTTGCGAGGTTACTTTTGCAGTCCCCTGAAGAGACTAACCGTTCCGAGTGGAAGCCTGAAGAGAAAAGCGAGTGGAAGTCAGAGAAGAAAGAAGAGTTGAGGTCAGAGGAGAACGAGCGGTGGAAGGTCAAGGATACGCGCGAAGAATGGAAACCAGACGGGAAGCACGAAGAAGTGATTGATGAAGAACATAAAGGCGCTTGGAAACAAGAGGGGAAGACCGAAGAATGGAAACCTGATGTAAAGCACGAAGAAGTAGTGGTAGAACAATCTATGAAAGACTGGAAGTCCGAGGAGAAGAAGGAAGAAGTGAAAGTAGAGGAACAGAAGGAGGAGTCTAAGTTTGTGGAAAATCATTCAGAACTACAGGTGGAGGATCACAAGGAAGAATGGAAGCCTGAGGAGAAGCACGAAGAAGTTCATGCAGAAGAAAGTAGCGAGGGAGAAGAGTGGAAGCATGATGTCCCACAGGAAGGGTGGGATGCTAAGAGTGAGGAGTTGCAGGCTGATCTGAAACTGGAGTCTAAACCTGAGGAGGGCACCGTAGAACAGAAGCTACAAGAAAATCCACCAGTGGTGCAGCGAGAAGAGAAATTAGAATTGCAGTTTGATAAAGAAGAGTCAAAGATAGAAGACAAATCTGAATTCACGTCGCAGAAAAGCATTACAAGGGAACTCCCAGGAACTAATCTCCTTGATAATGCTGGAGATGTAGAACAGAAGCAACTCGAGGAACGCAATAAAGGTTTAGTAACGTTGAATGATCACCAGGAGCAATTACAGCATGATCAGGAACTTAAAGATCGAGAGCAACTGGCGAAGCATATCCAGGATCTTCACCAAGAGAAATTGTCACAACATGATCAGGAACTTAAAGATCGAGAGCAACTGGCGAAGCATATCCAGGATCTGCACCAAGAGAAATTGTCACAACATGATCAGGAACTTAAAGATCGAGAGCAACTGGCGAAGCATATCCAGGATCTGCACCAAGAGAAATTGTCACAACATGATCACGAACTTAAAGATCGAGAGCAACTGGCGAAGCATATCCAGGATCTTCACCAAGAGCAATTGTCACAACATGACCAGGAACTTGAAGATCGAGAGCAACTGGCAAAGCATATCCAAGATCTTCACCAACAGCAATTGTCAGAACATGATCAGGAACTTGAAGATCGGGAGCAACTGTCGAAGCACATCCAGGGTCTTCACCAAGAGCGAAACCCAATCGACCCCAACGAGGAGCACCTGTCACTTCATCAAGGGCAAGAGTACAACCTAATAGACCACAACGAGGAGCACTTGCCAATCCATTATGGGCAAGAGGAACCAGGGAATCATGCAACTCAGGATGATTGGACAAATTGGGAGCGGAACGAGGTCTTGAGACCAACGGACAAGAAGATGGAGTGGAGTCACGAGAAACGAAAATTTGTGGAGGTTAATGAAGGCGATGATCCGAGTTTTGAGGGCGGAGAGGGCGTAGGCCGCGAAAGTCACCTTGTTGAGGACAATGAAGAGATTGATGTGTCACATATGAATGCCGAGCATGATCTTGAGATCTCTGGAGGGATAGACACATTTGCCTCACAAGACAAGCAATCTCGTTTTGTCGTTAAGGAGGAGAACAAGCAGGTCACTGAAGACGTTGGAAAGGACTCAGTGATGCAGAGGTCAGCAGTTGAAGACAGGAACGCCGGTAATCAGAATCCCTCTATTGTTTCTTCTCTAGCTGCAGAAGCTGCTGTGCTACGTGGAAATGTACGCGGTAATACGCAATCCTCTGAGATGTTCCAATCTAAGCACCAGGGTGCATCAAAAGATGATCCTGATCACCTGGTAAAGAAAATCAATGTATTCTCGGTCCAAACGAAAACCCATTTCGTGAAGGTGAATCAAGACCTCGCAAGTACGATCACGCCCTTTTTGGGAAATAGGCATGCTCCTGCGGTGGCATCTGTAATTTCTTACTGCCTGTTACTACTTCCATTGGCATTAATTTTCTTCGTTTGTGAGCAAGTACGGGAATTCCTAACCCTGCAGAAAGCCATCCTTTTTGCCAACATCTACCTTGCTGTGCACTTCGAGCTTCTACTGGTGGCAGCCCTAGGATTAGGATCAGAGCCTATGGAAATTTTCCACGAGTTTTCTACATCCAGTTACTTGGTTCTACAGCTTGTGCAGGCCTTTGGATACATTCTATATCTTACCCTTCAGACTGCCGATCTAACCCTAGCTTACGCCGAGGGAACTGCTATTGCTAAGTCCACCTCGACGGTTCAGATTGTGGTGGCATCAGTGATCGGTGTCCACTATTATATCACTGTATTCCTCAAAGCTACCCAGGGAGTGGCACCTACAACGTCTTGGAAAGCTTACGCATTCTACAGCATTGCATTCATGACTCTGTGTCTCCTTGGGAGGATCCACCGAGGGAAGAAACAGTATCACTCTGTTGGGAACGAGACCACAGATAAGAAAAATTGATTTTTTCTGCATTTATTTAAATGTCAGTTGCACTGGCTACTTGTTTTGTAAGCTAGTACTGATCGCCCTACAGGTGAAAATTTAGGCCCCTTTCGATTACTCATTCGAATCTGCTACGTAGACAAAGGATTTGAGAGCATTTCTAAATGCTTCCTGCTTTTGTGACGAAGGTACAGCTTATGAATTGATTGATGTAAAGATACTGCAGATAACGTCTCTTTGCATTGAGTATGTGCAATAGACATTCCCATTCTGTATCAGCCCCCTTCGTTCAAACATCGGGAGTGCTGGAGTGATCACAGGTAGATAGGCCAAGAGGCGGAGGTCACTATTCTTTCTTTACTTGTAATATGAAAATATCTGATTAGATTAAGTTCTCCCCACTTGTTTGAGGTTATAGACAATTAATTCGTCACACAACATGGACTCCATACTGTATTCAAATCTTGAGCAATGCGGTTTCAGATTCTCTGGGAACAATGGTTAGTGCATCTGAATTCATTCGGTGTTGACTGTTTCTGTTGTAAGACAATCGTACAAAAATTATGGTACGTATATTACATCAGTAATGAAACTAGTCTTTTAATGATAGTAATGTTTTGTGACACTTCGAAAAATTCGTGTTGAGACATCATGGTGAGTAGCTTCCATTTTGTATGAAATTCAAGGATACTCAAATCGAAGAAAATGTTCGATTCAAATTTGAAGACATGTGCTGCATATATCCAAAAAACGAATCCCGATTATTTCATTTTATCAACTTTAAGCTTCTCCTAAAATGAACATGTAGTCAAATTTGTGACTGGACTGCAAGATTAATTTCCTTAGTAATTCTGGTACAAGGATAATTGAATATTTCTCATTTTGATATATATATATATATATATACACATTGTTAATACAGTTTTATAATTGAGTGGTTTACCAGTTTTATATAGTGAATCATAATATTTAACTTTTAAAGCTCAAAACTTAATAAATGGAATAAAAAAGATTACATATAAAACTAATCTAATAAGAATATTGAATAGGTGGCTAGATAAAATTAGTCTAATAAGAATATTGTGTTGGTGGGTGGAGAAGAATGCAACAACAAACCATTATATAACTAGTATTATATAATTTGACAAAGAATAGAAAATAATGGTTAAATAAATTCCAAATGAAGTGCTTTTTTATTTTTTAATTGCAATTTAAGTAACAAAGAATGTTCATAATGGTAGTAGTAAATTGTAATATCTAAAATATAAGTCTAACTTATAATTTTAAAACTAAAACTATCAAGAGTACTTGTCAATGTGTAAATTTGTAGATAAAAAAATGTGATTCTTAAATTTTGTGTGATTTTAATAATATAATTATAAGATATTTGATCAAATATATAAAAAGATACCAAAAGTGGGCAAATTGAGGTTAGTTGCAAATTTTTACATGTGTAGGATTCAAAAGTTGCATGAAATAGAATCTTAAAAGATTAATACAAGTCATGATACAAAAGCCACAAACCAAGTTTGAAAAAACTCAATAACTAAATTACAAGAATTAACTATTAAAGTTCTTTAATAAACTTGAAGTAAAAAATCAAGATTTATTATAAGGGGTCTTATTGTGATAATTATTAATTTATATTTTTAATCTCTCTTAAAATATATAAATTTGTAAATGAATTATAGAGACAAAATTTTACAAATTTTGAAACTAATCTAATAGTTCAATTAAAAGCTGATATTTAATAAATTTTATTAATTTATTTTTTAAAAATATTAATTTTTTTGTAGGATTTATTTAGATTTTATTGGGATTTTAAAATTTGAGGATATGATAAGATCTTAGATTTAAAATTATTTAGGATTTGAGTAGAAAACAACAAAAATGAAGATATAAAGTATCCTTATAAGAGTTAGAAAAGATAATTAGATGTAATTAGATAGGTAGAAAGCATAAAGATAAATATAAATATAAATTTCTATACTTTTAAAATTAAATTGAACAAGATTCAAACTTATATTAATAGCACAAAATATCCTTAAAAATAATCTATAAATTTAAAAAAATATATTTTTTACAATAATTATTATTTTAATGAATATCTTATCAACAAAAAATAGAAAATATAATTTATAATTAAAAAAATCAAATACTATTATTTCTTTCTTAAAAAAAAAATTAATAGAAGAGAATTTACTTTGATTTAAGATTAATCTCTATCACATTGTAATAGTCTAGTGATTATGCATTTAACAAAATATTATCAATTTTATTCTAAAAAAAATACATTAATATTTGATATCATTAAATTTTGGATATTATTTTTAATTATAATGTATATATATATATATATATATATATATACCTTAGTATTTTACTTATCAAATATCAAATTAGATATCTTAAAAGTAAACCATAATATCAAAATTTACTTTAAAAGTAACCAAGGTAGCAAAATGTAAATGGGGACTAAAATAAAATGAAAGAAGAAAAAAGTACAAGATTAATGTTGAAAAGAAGAGAGAAACAAATGGTTGTCATTGAATTAGTGTCTACTAGGCAAGAATAAAGGTGATCAATTCTTACTAGTATAAAAAAATATAAATATAAATATAGAGAATATTATAATAAAACATGAATGTATCAACATTACAAAGAAGTCAATTTAAACATGTGCAAAGAAATATGATCCAAATAAAGATAGTAAATCTATAAAGAAATTAGATGAGCAAGTCATAGGGATATGTGACATATAACATAATGTGTTGTATGGTTGATTTGTGAGAAAAAATAATAAGCTAAAAGTGAGATTTTTCAAGAAAAAAACAAATATAATCAAAAGATGAAAAATAGTAATTTGAAGAAGAGACCAAAGTGGACAAGATAGCAGTCAATATATCAAAGCAATTAAAAATAATTATATAGAATGATCCAACAAAAAAGTAATAAGGTGAAGGAACTAATGTGCACTTGTAGGAAGATCAATAAATTGAATAATAAAATATTAGATAAATTTTTAGAAATTAAAAGATAATAATATGTAGAATGAAATAAAATAAATAAAATATTTAGTAATGTAATGCTAATTTTGAAGTGAATCAAGGATACAATACAATTTTGTATATACAAATTTAAAATAATATTTTAAGTCTATTTTTTGAATGATTATAGAACTATATTAATAATACTATATTAATCTAAAATTATATATCATATCTAAAATGTATTAATAAAATGATATATAATATATTTTTTCGGAGATTTATTATTTTAAATTGCTAATTTTAAATAATCTATTAATATTTTGTTTTGTTTTTTTTTTTTTTCAATAAAACCTATATAGGATCTAATACCTAAGTAATAAATAGTACTATGAGATTATAGGATTTAAAAAAAAAATAAAATTAAAAAATAATTAATATCCAAAATAGAAAATAGTGAAAATTAAAGAATAATTAAAGTATCAAAAGGAATTGTTGAAAGGAATGAAAAGAGTTGTTTTAAAAGTAAAATCTGCCCTTTAATAATCAAGTAGATAATTAAATTTATCTTCATATTAGTTAGTAACCATCATATTTAGATAGTTGCAATTACATTATGATTTAATACTACTTTGTAATGTCCCTTCATATTTCAAGTTGACATCAACCTTTGTAATACATATTTTACAAGAATTAATAGAATCAATATTACCATTCTATTTTTTGATTTTTCCCCTTTTCATACGATAAAAAGCATTAAATATGAGATTATGTTATAATTAATTTCATAATTAGAAGCAAGGAAAAATATCTATATATGTATATATATATATATATATATATATATATATGCATATATATATATTTTCAAAAATATATATCAATCAATTATGGCTTCTTCAAATTTAATTCATAATACATATTTATTAGTAAAGTACTTATCTATTAAAAATAAATTATGGATTTTTAAAATAGAAGTGATTCTTATTTTAAATTATTTTTTTTTGTTGTAAATACAATAGAAATTTATCTTGGTCTTATAAACATTGAATTCATACTTTCCCATAAAGTTATCTTTTTTGGCAAGAAGTTAACACAGAATAAATATATTTTTTTCAAATAAAAAATAAAAAATAAAAAATAATATTTTAAAAAATAAATTACATGGAAATCAAGGTATTAATTAAATAAATTCTCATAAACCGTTAATGTGTCATCAAAGAAGTAAACCATAATATAAATGACTTGATTGTAGAATTCTTATCCATGAAAAGGCCAATGGTTTATTTAAATCTCAAGCCAATATTATTTCAATTAAAATTATAATTCTAATTTGAAAAAATCAGATATAGTTTATATATTTATAATTCTTAATAACAATAAAATTACAAATTTATTGATTTGGTATTTGGACATTGAAGCAACATGTCATATAATACCACTCAATTAATACAATTCTATGAAATTAAATCTATTAAAATATTTATTTATTTATTTATATTAACGATTATTCAAAAATTATGAAAATATATTTCTTAAAGCATAAATAAGATATAATTCAAACAAATTGAAGCTTATAAATCTTATGTTGAAAATCAAACAATACATAAAAATAAGACTTTGCACTCAAACAACTAGAGAGAATACATATTAAAAGAATTTAATAATTTTTGTATTTAACATAGAATACTATGTTAATTTACTATATCTTATACACCAAAACAAAATGGTATTAGCATAAGAAAGAACAAAAATTTATTAAATTCTATTAAATGTATGTTCCATACATTTAAATTATCCAATTTATTTTGAGCAGATGCCATAGTCACAACTTGTTATATAAAAAAATAGAATATTTTCAAACATTTCAATTATTCTTTTGAAATTATAATGCGATAAAATAAAATAGTCATATTTACTAGTATATTTACTTAAGTAAATAGAATTAGATAGAAGTAAGAAAAAGTAGGTTAAATTACTAATATCTTATTGGAAATCTTTTTAGAAGCCTCATACGTATTTATAAGTGATTGATAAGTTAAAAAATTGGCCACATGTTGTAAATTTGGTTACTTGTATTAAAATTTGGTCATATGGTGCATATGTTCAAAACATATCCTATAAATTAGACACATGCCCTATAAGTTATATATGTATATTTTTCAATGTCTTTTTTATGTTCTATCCTAGTTCAAGACTTCATAGTCCTTTTATATTTGGCAATAGCAATTATAATTTAATTTCCATATCTATTTTTTTATTTTCTACTTTTTTTTTCTTGTTGGTATAAGAATGTATTTCTATTTTAATTTTTTTGATGTGGTTTATGTCTTTAAGAATTAATCCTTTTGATTTGACTCCCTTTAAACATCATAAGTAACTTCCAAATTGGATAACAAAAAACACAAATGTCCCACAAAAATCCTTCTTTAAGTTGACACACAGTGACAAAAGTATTATACTACTTGAGAATTGTTATTTGCCAACAAAATTTTATATGCAAAGAGA